TTGCTGTACGAATTTTTATATTTTAAAAGCTAATTTTTGTAATAATTTTCAAAAAGATAGTGCTAATGCAAATAAAATTAAAAATATAAAATGGTTTTTACAAGTATAAAGAAGAGAATAAATTTTTTATTTTGAGAAAAAATTATAAAACGTATATTACCAAATATTGTAATAATTGTTGTACAATATTTCAAATTAGTATATATAAGGTAAATATTAAATTTTATATACAATTTTACCTTATTATTTACCGAAACATTTGTAAACTTATATTTGATTTTACCTTATAAAACCGGAAACCTATTTTAACTTTACCTTACATATCCGGAGACCTTTATTTGTCATATATATAATTTTATCTTTATCTATTAAGAGACCTAAAATTTTTTTTTAATATAAATTTTACCTTATATTTTCGGAGACCTCTATTAGAAGTAAGCGGGGTCCTACCTATCCGGCTGATGTATTCCAAGAATCTTATGTCACAAATGATCATACACATTTTCTAAGGAATCAATCAAGCACGAAACAGCTCATCGGAATTATTGATTATGAAAATGCATCAACTGTCTTTCAAGGAGCTCATCTACAATTTCTAGACGAGCTTAAACGCACTGCAAAAAGAAATAGAGAGGAAGAAGCGGGTGAAGAAGCGGGTGAAGAAGCGGGTGAAGAAGCGGGTGAAGAAGCGAGTAAAGAAGCGGAGAATAGTAAATCAAAAAAATCAAGAAAACTAAGAAAAAAACAAAAACGCAGGAATTAATTATAGTTCAGCAATTATATTATCTATCTTCCATTAGTTCTTGTAATATGCTTATGTAACTTGATACATTATATTTTTCGTGCTTACATGTGATTTTATTATTGCGATACATTGCATACAAAATTTATAATTTTATTTTTTTTCGAAAATCTTTATGAATTTTCACCAGTAAAATAACGGTAAATTTCTACAGCACAAATAATAAAACTTTTTATTAGAAAATCTAAAAGTTCCATCAAAGTGTATAATGCTATTATGACCATATTTTCAAGCTAATTTTCTTTGTTATGGAGTTGCTAAAACTAACATTAATCTGTCATTATTAGATTGTTTAGGTTTATAATAAACTAATTACTTCATCATCATTAACTTCAAAAATTTGATGAATATTTTTTTCAACACTATTTCTAATATCTATATCCAAAGCATTCTTTGTTATTGAGTTCCTAAAGTTGATAATATCTTGACTAGTTAATAAAAACCTTTTATTATCTATTAAAACATTTCCTCTTAAATTTAATTCTATAAACTTCATATTATCTTTTAAAATAGCTGCTGGATGAACTTGAGCTTTTACATATTAACTATTATAATTTTAACTGTTTCATTAATATGAAGTGGTAGTGGTTGCTATGATTTTGAATTAATACATACATCTAAATGTTCTAAATAACCATCTAATGCTACATAATTATTATCTTTATTCTTTTTTATTTTAGCAAATGCCAAACAACCAACAAAAACATACATCTGACGATTTTTTCTTGTTAAAAAATATTTTAATTTTATATCACTTTCACAAGAACATTGAAGTATATAAAGTCCTTTTTTTTATCACTATATCACGTTTTCCACCTGTAGATACAAACTTTGGTTTTACGCCTGAAGATCTCAAAATTGCAAAGTCCTCAGCCCTTCATAGCATATGTTTTTGTCGACACTATTTACTTATAGGGTATGCCCTGTGTTGCAAATAGACACTCTTCCACCTTTTTCTCATGTTCAGGAAAAATACCCCTTGATCTTTGATCTGCGGAGTGATAGTCTTTGAAGATATTGTATTAGAAAGTTTATTCGAAACTATGAACTTTAACATGCTTGAAGGCATTGTATTCAAAAATTATTTAGCCTTCAATATAATTAAAATTAAGAAGAAAATTTAGTGATGATGATTCTTCAGAAACCATATGAAATAAGTGTTCATATGTTTTGAAGCGCGATGGATTAATTGAATTAGAAATCCAAATAATTTAATTCTTACTAATTCATTAGAATGACTATTATGTATAATCACCATTTTTTGTTTCCCTTGGCGAGTCCCAATTGGAAACTGCAGTAACTACGGTGGTAATTCGATCTCAGTATTTGCGAATACTTGCAAGAGACTTCTTTAAACTTGTTCTTTACGTTTGCTTACCAGATCCATTATAAGTAGTAAATCCGATGTTATAACCCTTATCCATTCCAAATTGTTTACGAGCTAATTGTCCAATATTCCATTCTTTTCGAAGTTTCCCTTTGTGCGTCTCTGACGTGACTATTGTGGGCCTAGAACGATAGTCACTTTTCATTTTAAACTTTGCAAAAGAAAAGATTATGATCATATAAAGTAACCAACTCACCCAAATAACGGCTTTAATAGGTTTACCTCTGAGGTTCCAAGTACTTTATTAGAGCTTCCAACATTCGCAACATATGTGAATCACGTAAATTCCAACTTTTAGTACCAGCGTCAATCATTGTTCCTTTTATGAAAAATTAATAGGATCAATATCGATCGTTTATTGTATGGCGTGTCAGTTAAAATACGTACGATAATATTCTTCAGAATCTTTAACTACCATAGTGTTTATTTCAGCAGCGAGTAGTTCATCTATTTTATCATCGCCTAAACCTAGCCCATCTTTTGACCATATCCGCTAATACTCTAACTGCTTCTTTTTCACACGATGGTGCAACTCGAAATAAGTTGCAAAAGAGTAAGATTCTGTCGATTAATCGAAATGATCGAAACAGACATAGCTGAAATAAATTTTAAGAAGAGAATTTATTAAAGATAACTAGAATTTCACGATTATAATGGCGTAGTAAATTAATCACACTATTTTTTTGCTTTTTCTGCAGATTTGAGATCAATCCCTTCCAAATAATGAATAACAGCCTCCATAGACCTATAAAACGAATACAACTCCAATCCATAAAATCCAGTCCATAAATTAAAGTTACACAATTTCTACCGCTATAATACATTAACATACTTTATCATAACGAGATTTTAGCTTCTAATTCATCATTATGCTTTTTAAGCTATTCAATAAAATAAAGTACTTGATAATTTCTCCACATCCACATTGGAAATCTTTTATAATTACTTAACAATTCATGTGCATCTTTCGATTCATTGAATTTCGAATTTTGCACATATCAATTGATGTTATAAGTATCTGGCCAATCCGCTTCACATGCTACAATGCCATAATAATATATTAACATAAAAAATAAGTAATACTTATGTACAATTGATAGGTAGGTATATTGCGTGAAATCTTTTCTTCTATTAATCGCTATGTAATTAAACATTTTCGTGATGAAATTCTTCAGTTCTTGAGATGCCTCTCCAATCAACACAATTTGTGCATTTTCTACAAATTGATTTGTATAATTTGTTTGTATATATGGGTTTTGTGCTAGGAAAATAAGGGTTAGAGATATTTTTTACCAAAATTGAGATTTTTTGTGCATCTGAATTTGTGACATATGAGAATCATTTGGTGCAAATTTTATAGCATATTATCTTATTATCAAAATTAGTAAATCGAAGTTTAAAAATCATCAATTTTTTGTGTAACAATCAGCCATAAAATCTAAAAATAGATTTGGAAATGATCGACATACATTTTTTTTGAAAAATCGAAGTACCGTAATTCATTACCTATCGATCATACAAAGACAGATAATAGCTTATTAGACTTATCTCATCATAATACATCTA